ATATCTATGCCAAGAGATAATAGAGAAGGCTATGTGTGTACATGTATGCATATGCACCGGGTCAGAATAGAGTAGTCATGTAATTGTCACAGAAATAATATTAATATAAAAGATTATACACACACACACAAATCAATCCTCAGTTAGTTAATCTTGTGCCTCCTTTATCTTAGGCATCAGGAAACCAGTTCTCTGTCTAGTGTACACAGCCACCAACACAATAATGAATCCAATGAACAATGACAATATAGTGGAGTGGAGGAATCCTGATCTATGGACCAGTCATAATCCTATCAGACTAAAGAAAGGATGCAATGTAGCTATACTGTCATTTAACTAGAATAAAGTTTTCATGATTTCAATGTACCGGTACATGTAATTATAGGCACGCTTTAGATATTGTTTCACTGCAAATGATCTATTTCAATTGCCTGCATCAGTTCTGACTATTGATGGTTCAGGCACTTATCATGTTTCCTATACTATTTCACAAATCAATAACATTTAGTCCAGAACTCCAAAAGGGGGAGGTAAAGAAGAAATAGCTTATCAAATCACAAAGCTAGAATAACAATGCATGCATGAATATCAGAATGATGCACACCCCACAATAGAGCTAGAACACACACATACACATACTAATGTACCATACATGTACAGCATGTGCATAGTACATGAAAGGTGATTTACATGCACATGTATATACTCACCCATGTTGTGTTTGTATTATAATGTCATTGGATGAATCATCAGTGAAGTCACTAATGACTGGTTTGGATAAAGGAGGAGAGGAGAGTATGTGTTGGACTAGTATTGAACCATCAGTAGCATCTAATACTGTCACTGAATACCAGCCTATCAGTAGTATATGATCCTATAATAAAATTACACATTAAATTACATGCAACAACTATCACAATCAGCAAAAAATCTGGATCTGTGCCTGTACACGTACAAATTGCAGTGACCAAGTGTGACTGCATGGGTAATGTAATAAAATCCACAAAAAAATTCCCAAAAATCCAACAATTACTTTGACATTACATAAGTACATGTACATGCACATGTGTATGCATAAGTACATGTACATATACTGATTGTTACTGACTTTCTTTTGCGAGTTGGAGGAGGTTTTGATGCCATGATCACAAGAGCTGATTTGACAGGATCATCAATTAAAAGTTCCTTGTTAGGTTCTCCTTAGTCCCTAGCAACATGAGGTTGTTCCCTAGCAACCAGTTGGGCAGGAGAAGCTAGTTGAGTTAGTTTAGATTCTTTATCAGTTAGAGAAGAAGAGGTATTAGTAAAGGTATCATCATCATCATCAATCTTTTTATCTAATGGAGGGAGAGGGAGAGGAGGAAGAGTCAATATTGTATAGCTAATTTCATTTGTGTTGAATTGGATCATTACATGTGGTGCAAGTTGGTTTTCCATACATCATTTATTAAGGAGTAAGGACATGCCATTATAGGACTCACAAGATGTACTATTTAAATGCAAGTGAAATCTGATGTATAGACGCATTTATTGAGGATCATAATAAAAAAGACAACAACATATAAGAGGTGTGGCTAAAACCATTAATTAATTTATATATATATATATATACATTATGGTTAATATACGTACCAAACCATTCGTCTCCCTCTCCTTCCTCCTCTCCTCTCTTGATCATATCAACATCAACAAACATTGGAGCATCTAAACTATCAAGATCCATGACTGGGCTTGAGCTCTTTCAGAGTATCTGGATAAAAAATAGAAACGCCTTTTAAATGAGGTTCCCACCAGTTCTGAGGCTTTGAACTGGAATAGAACCAAAGTTCAACGTTTAAGTGAAGGTAGACTCGAGTTCTGTCCAGTTCTGTCTAGTTAGATTCGGCTGAAAAGTTCAATGGATGAATGGAATTAATGGCGCCTTCTATTAAAATAAAATTAAAATTATACTGCGCATGCGCAATGGAGCACCTTCAATCCTTTATAGAGGGGAGGGGCTGGATAAGCCTATATGCATCATAGATATTAGAGTAAATGAAAGGGATAGGAAACTTCCGTTCCCGGGAAATCAAGCTATTTACCCTAGAAAGCGGAGGAATCCGGATACTAGTATACTCTAGCTGTTATTTTCCATCGCCACAATGGGCGACTAGCCTGACTAGGCCATAATTTGTCCCTTGTAATAGCAAAAGTATGCTTCACAAAGACAAGATAATGGGCGGAAGACCCAGAATAACTCATCTAGATTCTGTATCTGAAGCCTCTTTTGTCATTACTCGTTCAAGCAGTGAGATAATGGTACCCAACTAAACGCGGAAAGTTTACTTGTTTTTGAGCATAAAATGTCGAGAAAACAAGCTTTTGAAATTATTAAAGTTGGAAGACCTAAAGAAAAGAATTCTTTAATAGGGGCTTGCTTTAAATCTTTCATTTATAATATTGCTTTTGAGATAATGGGGACCAAAGAACAAATTAGTACTTTTTTAACTTTTAATCGCTAATAAATGCAATAGAAGAGCGTAAATCTTGCTATTTTTGGCTACAGCATGATAGTGGTATAACAGCTGATTTCTTTGAAGTATCATATGGCACTGCAATCACTACTATGCAAGTGCTATAGGTGAGAATCAGTGCTGCAGAGATGGAGAGAGCAAGTCTGGCCAGGGGTAACTAGCTTAAGTTGCTAGGCAACCTAATAATCTCAATGGAATAATCCACCCACGCAACGGAAGTTTCCTATCCCTTTCATTTACTCTAATATCTA